GCGGTGCTCAGATCTGGGCATTCATTACCCCGGGGTCACCACACCCTGGCTGTGTGTGGTGGGAGCTCCTGGCAGAGGGCGGGGAGGTCTGGCCTCCCCAGCACCCTCGGTCACCTCATATCAGGTCCCTGATGACCCAGAGGGGCCCCCCACCTTTACCTGCTGAGAACCAGAGCCTGGGTGAGCAGGCACGCCGAGAGCTGGGTGGACGCTGCACGCCCACACGCTCTCCTGGGCTCTGTGTGCAGGCGGCCCTCCGCCTGGTGCAGACGCACACAGGGCCTGAGGGCCCGGGGTCTGTGTGGCGGTTGCCCCACGTCTCTGCCCCTCAGGCTCCTGGGCTCGGCCCCGAAAGTGCCCCTGGGGTAGCGCCTCGGTCGACACCAGGAGAAGTGTTTCTGGGAGTGGAGGGAACCCCAGAACCCCCGGACACGGGTCCAGGGCCACCGGTGTAAACCCTGGCAAGACCGCCCAGCTCCTCTCCACCCCCACGAGCCCGGGGGTGGGCGGCGTCCAGGGAGGGCTGTACCCCGGGCTGGGGCTGGGCTGGGTCTCCCCACAAGGCTGAGCTGAGGGTGTCTCGGTCAGGACTCTCTGCCCCCTGAGTGCGGTGCTGCTTTGCGAGCTGGGGTTAAGGTGCCCCAGGGCGGAGCACAGAGCCCGGTGCCAAGGGGGCTCAGGGCCGGTCCACGCAAGCCCAGCTCCGCCCGGGGGACCGACCGGCGTCCACAGCAGGACCATGCCCTGCGGCCTCCCCGCCTGATTCCGCTACTGAAGCGAGACTGTCTTGCCTCTTTTTCCAGAAGGTCGTCTAGCTTGATGGACTCGGGCTCCTGTTCCTGTGAGGAGGAGGCGGGACAGGCCGGGTAAATGGGCAGGGCTGAGCCGGGGGCTGGCCGCGCAGGTGGGGGGTGTGGCCCACCTTGGCCTCTGGGGTGCACTCGTCTGCGCCCTCCCCTCCGGCCGGCTGCTCGCAGCGGGTGCTGGCCTCCTCCGCCTTTGCGTCCTCTGGTGCCAGCCCGCGGGCATCCTGGTCCCCGTCCTGCTTGTCCTCCAGACTGGCCTGGCTGCAGGGGGTGGAGACAGTTGGGAGACAGCTTCGTCCTAACCCTAACCCTAGCCCTGGGAGCCTGTGCTCTGCCCCTGCGTTGGCAGAGGGGCAGGGGTGGTGGGCCAGGCAGGCCCTGGGGGGAGAGGAGGTGCGGAGGCAGAGACGCAGGGCTCCAAGAGGCCGTCCTGACCCAGACCCACCCAGCGCGAGGGTTGCCCTGGGGCCCTGGCAGCCTCCCAGGGGGCAAGCTTTCTTTCTGGAGATCCCGGGGAAGGACAGCAGAGAGGTGCCAGCACCGAGGTGCTGGGCCGGGCTAAGCCACGCTGCTATTTGCTGGGTGGCCCGCCCCTCTGAGCCTCCCTGGACCCTGCTGCCCTGCTTCAGGGCCTCCAGGCCTGGCTCCCGCCCCGCCTCCCACGTCCCCGCACGCGTCTGCATGGCTGCCTCCGCTGTGCCGAGGCCGCTCACCAGCTGGCACCTTCTGCTTCACTCCTGGCGTCCTTCCCCGGGTCTTCGGACTCTGAGGAAGGGCAGCAGAGCTGCGGTCAGTCTGCACGGGTGCTGACGGCCACCCGCAGGGCGCCCAGCTCCGCTACCCCGTTCGGACCCAAGTCCCCCGGCACCCTCGCCCGGGAGCCCACTGGCTCTGGCGTCCCCATCTGCAATTTGCAGGCTAGTGAGGGGCCCCAAGGGGTCGCAGCTGGGCCGAGGGGTCCCTGTGGGGCCTCGCCCTCTCAGTGGCACTTGGGGAGCCTGTGGTGTTGCTGTGTTCTCCTGGAGGCAGCAGTGGTCGGGGCGGGGGGAACTCGGTCTGTGGCCTCCCGGAGGCGGCATCTGAGCATCAGTGGCCCAGGGCACGGTGGGAGCGGGTTCTTGGCTATGGGGTCTGTCTGTGAGCAGAGCAGCGTGCCTCACACATGGGGAGCAGGGGGCCGCATCTCAGGGCCTCATGGGGCAGCGTGAGCCCTGAGCTCCGAGCAGGAGGCTGTGGCTTCCTGGTGAGACACAGGTTCTTCGCTCCAGGAGCTCACAGTGGGGGTTCCCACAGGCCCCGGGGCCTCGGAGGACCCTCGGAGGGGCCCCGAGGTTGCTGCGCTCCAGCCCCACAACCTCTCAGCCACCCTGAGCCTGAGGCGCCCCGTGGCTGCTCCAGAACCCCCTGCCCCTGGTGGCCCGCTTCCCACCCCAGCCTGACACACACCCTGGGCCCTGGTCCTGCAGCTGGCACAGTCTAGGAGGCTCCCAGCTTTAAGGAGCGCTCTCGGCAGGACGCCCGGCAGGACGCCGCTGGCAGCCATGGTTCTGGAGCGTTTCCTACAGAATCTGGTGGCCAGATTGGCCACTCAGGGTCTTTCCAGCTCGCGGGCCTCGGGGCTGGGGCGCCGCCAGGGAGGGGGTCAGGGCCAGCCCCTTGTGGGCGCCCTGCCAGCTGCGCCACTGCGTCCACTGGCCCTTGCCGCCTCGCACGCTGTTCCTCCCCCAGCCCTGAGCCCGTGTCCCCGGCTCCTGACATCCTCCAGCGCAGTCCTTCACGGGGCCCTGGGCACCCTGCCCACGGTTAAGTGACCTTCCATGGAGGGAGTTTTCTGCCAGGCCTGGCCTCCCTTGTACTCGGCACCCACGCCCCGGGCTGGGTCATTCGTGGACCTTCCCTCGCCTCTGGGCTGAGCTCCCTGCAGGTAAGAACTGGGTGCTGTGCGTCAGGGCACCTGCTGACCTGTGCTGTGCTGTCCCCAGGCAGGCCCTGGCCACCCAGAGACAAAGTCCTGAAGGCCAGGGGTGCAGCCGCAGTGGGCCTTCAGAGAACGTTTCAGAGCTCAACTGCTCTCAGCAGGAAGGGCCCGAACAGTCAGGAGCCGCTGTTTGCAGGCAGTGCTCCAAGGCGACTTCTGGAAAATCTTCAGCAGCCCCTAGACTGCGTGCACAGGTGTGTGCCTGTGTGCTGGTGCACATGCCTGTGGGTGTACAAGTTCGCACACGTGTGTGCTGGCGCGTGTGCCTGTGTGTGAGCACATGTGCTGGGGCTCATGTCTGTGGGTGTGCGAGCGTGTGCACGTGTATGTCGGCACACATGTCCCTGTGTAGGCAAGTGTGTGCATGCGTGTGTGCTGGCACCCTATCCCTGTGTGTGTGAGTGTGTGCACACGTGTCTGTGCATGGGCTGGCCCACATACTCTCCACAGCTCCCTCCTCTTGCGTGGACTGACAGGAGAGGAAGCATCAGCAGGAAGAGCTGGTTCTTCTCTGCTCCGCCACAGCCGCAGAATGAGCAACAGCCGCCTTTTCCTCCAGCTCACCATTGTCAGAAAGGGAAACACTCGTGTTGGTGGGCCCCCGTCTGCCTTCTAAGGAAGATCCTGCATTCACGCAGGTTCTGGGCATGTCTGCAGGGTCGTAATGATCTCCGGGCAGACCGGAGGGCTGCTCCTCTGGGCTCCACGAGCAGCGTCAGGAGGGGGCGCGGGGCGTCAGGAGTTGGCCTGGAGGTAGAGCACCCCTTTTTCCGCCTCCCTTCAGCTGGGCTCTAAGCGACCCTCACACCACTCACAGGTCACTGTCTGAGCTTGAGTCGCCCCCATAGGTCTGGGATGAGCGTGTAGGGTGGGCAGGCCAGGTGGCGAGGGGCTGACATTGCAGAACCCTCTGCACGACCACACCGACACTGCCCTGCAACGAGGGCGCCCCTCACTCCCTTCACAGCAGGAGCCTCCTCCGGCCCGTGGATCTCAGTGGGTCCCACCATGTGGAGCAGCCCGAGGCCCGGAGCCCACCCTCTGAACAGCCTTCCTCCTCCTGGACACGCCCTGCAGGAAGGCCGTTGGGAGCAGGGGCCGATCAGGGGCCCCGGGGCAGGTTCTGTGCGGTGAGGCAGTTGCCAGGCTGCGGGGTCCCAGGCGAGGTGCTCAGAGCGCAGGCACGGCCCTGTGGCTTCCAGCGGCTTCTGCACCTTCCAGCTGGTATGTCTGCGATGCCCCCCCGACCTGCAACCCTGTGGTCTTGACAGCCACAGGTCAGGCAGCACCAGCCTCCTCCGTGATCCCCGCATGCGAGCGTTGAGGCCGGGTGGGTCTCTGGCGCTCCCCCAGGGGGGCCATGTCTTGTTCCATTTGATCACGTGGACAGCAAGGCCGGCCCTGTGTTCTAGCCCCTCGGAACTGTCCGGGGCCTCCCTGGTCTGGAGCCTCAGGGCGGGTGGGCACAGGGCAGGACGAGGCTCAGCTCGGCGCGCCCGGCCACCCAACCTCAGGAAACCACGTGGTGCTGGACGGGAAGGTCTGAGGCCAGTGTTACTGGGAGACACCACAGCCACCTGCAGTGCTTCTGAGCAGGTTATGGGTTGGTCTCCTCTCGGGGACTCGGCCCTCCTGAAAGCCCTACACAGAGCAGCCGTGCTGGATGGGGGGTGGGGGAGACGGAGTGGCCTCTGTGCGGTGACCTCCTCCTCCGACACAGCTTTGGATTTTTAAGCTGAGAAAACAAGTATTTTTACACCACGGCCTCTTAATGGCACTCCTAGGGCTCGAGCGGCCAGTCGCATTCCTGTTCACTGTTTCTTTTCCTGGGCCTGAATGACGGTCTTGGCAAAGGGCGCTTGCTGGCGTGGCCTTCTCAGAACCACGACCTAGGGGCCCCACCGATGACTGGCAGCTCCCCGTCTCTCCACCAGCTCAGGGCCTGCTGCCCCGGGGTAGCTGACCCTCAAGGGGCAGGTCCACATCAGCACCAGTACATTTCAAGCACCCATCCCCACCTTGGGCACACCACTGCCTGCTTGCGGGGTTAGAAACACGCTGGAGTGGGAAACAGACAGCATAAGATGCAAATGTGCACAGTTCACAATGTAAGAGTCTCATTCGTGCCATGTATGGTGGGCGGCTCCAGCCCCACAGGTTCCCCGCTGCCCCTGTGAGGCCCCTGGTTCCCACAGTGGAATCGAGGCTCTCCCTGGAGCCTCACTATGAACCCGAGACACTTTCCACACCACCTCAAGAGCCAGAGGTGTTCCCAAAGTACTCGATGCCTTCACAGGCCACAGGGGCCAGGTCTCTGTCCTCACCCCTTCCTCCTGCCCTCAGCAGAGCTTATAGCAGGCCCCCCCGAAGCCCTGGGCTGGCCCCCAGGATGGGCCCCCGAAGACCCCCACAGCCCCCAGCCCCCAGGATGGGCCCCACAGCCTCTAGCCCTTAGGATGGGCCCCCCACAGCCCCCGGCCCTTAGGATGGGCCCCCACAGCCCCCAGCCCCCAGGATGGGCCCCCACAGCCCCACGTGCAGGGATCAGGGACCCACGTTAGCTCTGGGTGAGCCGCCTGCCCCCACCTAGCTCCTTGCACAGCTTCTTGATGCAGCTTGGCGGGTCCCCCTTCTGGAGCAGGCCGCCCACACTCCGGCTCCGCTGCAGCTCGGCCATCTCGCTGGCTGCCTTGAGGTGTGCAGTGCCCACGCCCGTGGGAGGGGCGCCGGGGCCGGGCCGGTGCCTCCTGTGGGCGGCCATGCCGTCCTTGTCCATCCTCCCCACCTTCTGGTCACAGCAGAGTGGGGGGTGGCGCTCCCGAGTGGCCCTCAGCTGGAGCACATGGCTTCGCCCCACAGGGAGCTGCCCACGGGCACCGGCCCTGTTGCTAGGTGGCCCCTGTGACATCACCATAGGGACAGAGGCCAGCGGGTGCCCAGCCCCAGGATGTGGCTTCAAGCGGCCTCCCCAGGCGCCCGGCCACAGCAGAGGCGGAAGGCCAGCGGTTGGTGCCAGCACGCGGTTCCCGGGGCTCCTGGAGCCATGTCTGTCGAGCCTTCAGTGAATCCTTTGACTCTTCGCAGGGACGAAGGACCTGGGGGGCGGTGGTTTCGCTACTTGGCTGGCAGTCTGGGCCCTGGTGGCATCCTGCATCCTCCCCATGCCAGACAAGGGGAGATTCGCTCAAATGTGACATCGCGGGGGTGGGTTGCCACCTGGGGACAGGATCCTCAGAACTGTGCTGACGAAACCCTTCCCTGCCTTTTAAGTGGGGCCTTTTGCTGGCATGTCCATAACCAGGGCTTGGGCAGTGTCCACAGCAGACACTCTGGGTCTGGAGCCCAGGGCCAGACGTCCAGGCGTGGCTGGGCTGCTCTCCGGAGGCCTCTCTCCTTGAGTGTGGACGCCATCTCCTCACCACGTGCTCACGGGGCCATCCCGTGTGTGTCTGGGTCCTAATCGCCTCTTCTTAAAAGGACGCCAGTCAGACTGAGCCAGGGTCTCTGAGGGACCTCAGGTGACCTTCGTCACCTCTTTAAAGGCCTGTTTCAGACGCAGTCACTTTATGAGGTCCTGGGGGTCAGGATTTCACACTATGTGGGGCACAGTTCAGCCTATAACACAGTCTAACAGAAAGGTTCTGATGATCTATTCAGCAAGGATTTTTCTTCTCCTCTGGGACCACGGGGGACAAGTCACAGCAGAGGTTTCTTGAGCATCGGCCGACAGCACTGTGTGTTGTCAATGTTCAGAATGAAGCCAAAGTGACTGATCCCCATTTCCCACATCCATCCCTGAACATCTCACAGCACTGTAGCTCACAGGAGGCCTGGGACCCGCCAGCCAAACCCACCTGTCACTGGGGGGGCCTCACCTGTCCTCGGGGGCCTCACCTGTCCTCGGGGGCCTCACCTGTCATCGGGGGGGCCTCACCTGTCCTCAAGGGACCCCACCTGTCACTGGGGGGCCTCATCTGTCCTCAGAGAAACTTCACCTGTCATCAGGGGGGCCTCATTTGCTGTCAGAGGACCTCACCTGTCATGAGAAGGACCCCACCTGTCATCATGAGGACCCCATGGGTCATCAGGGGAACCTCACCTGCCATCACGCGTGTGGCATTAAACTCCTTCCTGCCCCGCTCCACCACCCACCCCGTCTCCACAGGTGCATATTATCAGCGGGTGCTCCTGTGAAACCAAGTCAGTCTCAGAAAGAATAAAAGGTCTGTTTTAATTAGCCAGTAAAATACATCGCACATCATTAGTATCTTAGAAACATTAAGTTACAAATTCATGTTAAAAATTGCAGTTTGGAGCAGGCTAATAGTTGTGTGATGCAAGTTTCTTTTTTGCAACAATTTCTTCCACCATTTGTGACAACTGCTAACATTTCTATCTGCATCTGGATCTCCAGTGACAGACAGCACAGGGTACCGGGTCCCAGGGGTCTGAATGGGGCTTTCCAAATTCAGGCTCAGCCTGGCTGACCTGAGGGCGTCAGAGGCAGCAGCTCTTCCCGGGCCTGGCATCTGCTCCTGAGGCCGCCCGGTGCTGGCCCAGCGGTTCCCCCTCCCTTTCCTCTCCGGGACTTGACTTGGCCGCTGTGAGACACGCCCATTCCCTTTTTTGTCACCCATTGTCACCAAATTTCTGCTAGAGGACCCCTGCCCCCAAAGATCGAGGCAGTCCTCAAACTGGGATCTCCGTGTGGTTCTGACCCTCCAAACAGGGGTGATACCAACGTCAAAGCTGAAACCAGGAGGCCTTGTGTTGAGGTCTTGTCACCCATGAGACACACCCATTCCCTTTTTTGTCCTAAGGTGGCACCTCCCTTGAATGGTAGAGGCTTGGATGTTCCAAGTTATTAATACTTTATATCAAAGAGCTAATTTAAAACGGTTCTTTAAAAACATTAAGAAAAACAGCTTGAAAATACTGCACATTTCCATTTTTACAAACTTCCCCAAACTCCCACCCGGGTGGCATTCTGCTTTAAGTCCCACTGACAGCAAACAACACAGCTCTCCTTGATGCGACAGTTGGGTGGATGCATTTCAGCAGCAAGGTGGGAATGAAGGCTGGGACCCCCAGGAAATCTCTGCAAGAGGACCCCTGCCCCCAAAGATCAAGGCCATCCTCCAGCCGGGATCTCCGTGTGGCTCTGACCCTCCGGCCAGGGGTGGCACCAACGTCAAAGCTGAAACCAGGAGGCCTTGTGCTGGTGGCCGCCCGGACAGTAGGCTCACAGGAGAGTAATGTTCAGGACGTCCCTGCTCTGGCGAAGCAGAGCCTCAGTGCCACAGAGACAAGCATGCGTGTGACCCGGGCACGCGCCCTGCAGGCTGCAGTGTTGCCAGCACCGTGTTCCGGGAGGGCCAGCTCACCTGCCATTGCCGTGACCAAGTGCGCGGCTGCCCGGAAGTGGCCCAGGAGCCTCAGGACGTCCGACGCGCTGCCCCTCTGGCCTGGCTCTCTCCTCCCCCAGCGAGGCTCTGTCGGTGCGGCTCAGGGCTAGCCTGGGAGCTTGTGCAGAGACTTCACATGGAGTGGGCAGGGGTCTCAGACTGCTGCCTGATGTAGCTCTGGAAGCTCTTGTCTCCAATGGGATGCTCCCTACAGGGTGCGGGGACGGGAGTGTGAGAACGGGCTGCCTGGCATACTTCTGAGCTCTCACTGCCTGCTCCTACCTTGGCTTGTGATGCACAACCCTTGTAACATGCACAGAAAATGCAGACCAGCAAGGGAAGCAATCAGCCTGAAACCACCCAGGGACGTGCCCACTGTGAGCCCAGTCCCAGTGGGTGGGGCTCGTCGCGCAGGCGTGTGCAGACCGTGAGCCCCGGGAGCGGCCACCGTGGTGCCGTGCCCCGTTGGCTACGGATGCTGGCACAGCTGTGAGTCACGGCTGTTTCCAACATGGCAGGTCTGCCACGTTTAGGAAAAGGCAGCATCTTCACACGGCTGGCGTGGGCTCTGACAGAGGGTGTTAGAGGGTCTGAAAGGTGATGCAAGTGTCTGTGGAGCCAGGAGCAGACACGGTCAGCATCCCTGGAGATGCTGGGCACACTCGCAGCCTGGTCAGAGTCAGGGTCTCTTCCAGAGGCCCCCTTCCCTTCCCAAACCAAACCCATGCATTCCCTGGAAGGAAAGGGGAGCAGGGAGGGGGGCTGGGCCCACGCCAGGTGTGTGCTGGGTGAGCTCTGCATGGGTCTGTGGGCTCCAATGCTTATAGACTCTCATCACCCCACACTCAGAGCAGGAGGACAGGGACCCTTGGCTGAGCCGCCTGCAGCCAGTGGCGCGGAGCGCAGGTGGCCTGACTCAGCCTGCGTCTCTGCCGTCCGTCCCTTCCAGGACGTGGGGTGGGATCCACAGCCAGCCTGGAGAGAGGCTGAAGGTGGCTCCTGGAGGCAGGGCTGCTGGCCCAAGGAAGCCTAACTTCAGAAGCAAATGGTTCGAGAGGCAGGGGGCCTGGGGGCCTGGGGGCCTGAGGGTCTGGGGGTGGGGGTGGAAGGCACTGCTCTAGGACACAGTCCAGAGGGACCTGCTCTGAAGGAGGCAGGAAGCCTGCCCTGCCCACAGGCAGGTGGTCCAAGGCAGCGCCCCTGGCCCCCCGCACCACCGAGACCCCATACTCACTGGCTTCCGTACTTGGTCTTCTTGAACTTGTCCCTTTTGTACTGGGCATGCTCTTGCTCCAGGGCCCCGACCCCGGCGATGACCTGCTTCAGCGTCTTGTAGGTCTGCTGGGGGTCGTCGATGAGGAACGCGGAGTACTCCTCCTGCTCTGGCCCGTCGTACACGGATCTACTTCCGCAGGCCTCTGCGGTGCCAGGGAGGGCCGAGGTCAGCGTGGGGCCAGACACGCTGCCCCTGGAGCGCGTCAGGAAGGACCCACCGCTCGTGCAAAGCCGAGGTCAGCGTGGGGCCAGACACGCTGCCCCTGGAGCGCGTCAGGAAGGACCCACCGCTTGAGCAAATGCACACGAAACGGAAGCTGCCAAGAGCCAGGCTGCCCCTGGACTGCGGAGACGCCCGTGGGCTGGAAGCGGCCAGGGACCCCAGCCTGGGGGTCCGACGCTGAGTGCCAGGCCCCAGACCCTCTCTGGAGTGAGCTGGCTCTGTCTTAGCCTGGGCCAGGCAGGACACTGCACCACCTGCTCAACAGGTAACTTCTCCTAAGACCACCTCACTCTTGCTGAAGACCACACTGTGGCCTCCAGGACCCCATCTGACCCCAGACACCTGAGCTGAGTCCTGCACTCCTGCTGCCTGGCCCAGGTGAACCAGCTTGAGGCCCCTTACCCTGGTCTGGGATGCAGGGTGTCACCACCATCATCATCATCACCATTGATATCACCATCATAAACTTCATCATCAACATCACCCTCATTGTCTCATCTCCTCCATCACCAACATCATCACCCTCATCACCTCATCTCCTCATCACCAGCATCATCACCCTCATCACCTCATCTCCTCCATCACCAACATCATCACCCTCATCACCTCATCTCCTCACCACCAGCATCATCACCCTCATCACCTCATCTCCTCCATCGCCAACATCATCACCATCATCACCACCACCATTGACATCACCATCATCACCCTCATCAACATCACCACCATCAACTTCATCATCACCATCACCTTCATTACCATCACATCACCATCACCACCTCCATCATCACCATCACCACCACCATCATCATCATTACTGTCATCACCATTGTCACAGAAAGCTTCACTGCCTTTACTGACTCAGAAGGAATCTCCTAATTCTTACCAAAAAACCACGAGTCTGTGCAAGGGGAAACAGATTTAAACTTTCAAGGGAAAAGGGAACATGGTGTGAGGAAGATGACGGTTCCA